CCCCGGTGCGGGTGGGGGAGCCAGCAGACCAGGGAGACGGGGAACAAAGGGGCGCAGGACCCGGGGCCGGACCTGCGGCCGCTTCCAGCTGATCTGGAAGCGCCGCGGGTCCGGCCCCGGGTCCTCCGCCGCTTTGCTCAGCGTCTCCCTGGTCTGCTAGCTCCCCCAGCAGACCAGGGAGACGGGGAGCAGCTTTTCTCGCCCCGGAGGAGGCGGGCGGTGGGACCAGGCGTCCCGCCGCTCCAGTCCTCCGGGGCGAGAAAATCCCCGTTCGTAACTGCGGATCCAACATAAGTCGGATCCGCGTAACTCGGGGACTGCCTGTACTCAGAGAGCTGTTAGCACCTTCAGTGGTTATTAAGTAGGTGGTGTCCTAGCCAGCCCATATCACATTGAGTTCATTAGCATGTGAATTGAATTTGTGGATGAACGTCCCGCCGCTCCAGTCCTCCGGGGCGAGAAAATCCCCGTTCGTAACTGCGGATCCAACATAAGTCGGATCCGCGTAACTCGGGGACTGCCTGTACTCAGAGAGCTGTTAGCACCTTCAGTGGTTATTAAGTAGGTGGTGTCCTAGCCAGCCCATATCACATTGAGTTCATTAGCATGTGAATTGAATTTGTGGATGAACTGTGATTCCAGTCCTTCTCTATGTATTCAGCTTGTGGAGCTGGCCTGTGACAAGACAGCCACCTGTAGGTCTGTTAAACTATGGTTAGGCAAGCAGAAATGTTCATCAACAGGCTTCTGTGTGTTCCCTTTACATATATCCTATATATAGTAGTGGGGCACTGCTGGCATTTGATGGCATAGATCAAATTACTAGATGTGCAGTCAAATGACCCTTTGATGTTGTGGCTTATGTTTGCTCCAGTGATGAATTCATCAGTGTACATATGTGGGCAGTTGGCATCTTTTTTGGTTGCAGGGCTGGGTTCCTGGAGGCTTATGATGTGGTTGTGTGGCATGGTTACCAGAAAGATAGAGCAAAGCAATGTGGGTAGGCATCCCATAGTGCACTGTTGTAGGAAGGTAGAGTTGATCCCTGTGCTTCTTGAGATTCCCTTGTATCTCTCTCTGTGAACTCTCCGTGCAGAGGAATGTCAAAGCAGCACAGCAGTCTCTCCTCCCCACCCGTAGAAGTAGTCTGACTGCTGTTGTGTTCCTAGCAGGGCAGAAGAGGTGCATTCCAATTATTTGTTCCCCAAACAGAGTGGCTCACTCAGCTGTCAGATACTTCCAGGAGCTTTGGAAGGGGAGGGGCGCATGCCTGCAGGGCAGCAGAGATCGTAAAACAGCATTTCCCAAAGTGTGGTCCGCGGCCCAGCACTGGTTCTTAGGAAAACAAAATACCAGTCCTCAGAAAAATGTTCGTGCACGATTCTTGGGAGAGAGCCCGCCACCAGGGCCTCTCTTCCGGGCATGTTCCCAGGTGGCGGGGCTAGGATGAAGAGCGGAACAACCCGCCGGACAGGTAGGGCCAGCGATATGCCCCAGGGCAGGGTGAGGCCCTCGGTTTTACCCACGAATGCAGGAGCAACTGGGGGAAGAGGACATGGGGCTACTCACCCGACCTCCAGGGCCCGTATGAGCCGAGTCACCCAGCAGGCCTGAGAGGGACCTTCTAATCTTACTGGTCCCAAATGGGGGTGTCAGGATCATGAGGGTTAACCAGCAGTCTGGGGACAAAGGGGTTAACTATGTCCCTTACCTAGCCAGGTGGAGTGGCCAATAGGAATGTAGGTAGGATTTTGAAACTGGGACAAAGGAATTTTTGTTTTTCCCCCCCTCTCCTTTGTCTCTGGGGAATTCCCTCCAGCTTCTGAGGGAGACAGACATGTCTCTGTCCCTAAGGGTACGTCTAGACTACATGCCTCTGTCGCCAGAAGCATGTAGATTAGGCTACCAGACATAGTAAAATGAAGCGGCGATTTAAATAATCGCCGCTTCATTTAAATTTACATGGCTGCCGCGCTGAGCCGACAAACAGCTAATCAGCTGTTTGTCGGCTCAGCGCGGCAGCCATGTAAATTTAAATGAAGCGGCGATTATTTCAATTGCCGCTTCATTTTACTATGTCTGGTAGCCTAATCTACATGCTTCTGGCGACAGAGGCATGTAGTCTAGACGTACCCTAAGAGCCAATTCTTCACTTTCTGTAAGTAGGCTAAAATGTAGATAAATCTGTTAGGTTTTATTGCCTTATGGTTTGGGTACGGGATTTGCTGCTGTCTGTGCACTTTTAAAAAAATGTTTTGGCTTTCCTTTGTAACCAAGTTCTAGGCGCATGGTATAGTTTCTCCATGAGTATTACTTTGTTACTTTTTCATCTGATCATTATACTTGCAACAGGAATATTGTGGTGATAAAAGTTTTGCTCTTTTCTTTTTATTAACCTGGTATTGGTTAATTGTTGTGTCCTGGATTTACTTTAGGGGTGATATTTCCCAAGTGATCTCTCCCCTGGTTTCTTATTATTACTTGGGTGGTGGCAACGGAGATTTTATTCTCAAAATCTAGGCTGTTAAGATTTTGGGGGGAAGTTTTATACCAAAGCCTGATAAATAAGGTTTTGGGGTACTTTTGCTGGCCCCTACTTCTGCATTTATCGTGCCAGAGTGGGGAAGGAGCCATGACAGGGGGTGAAGTAGACACCTCAGGATTGGGGTCAGGAAACCGCCCAGGGCAGCCGACTAGGCCCACTCATGTTGTCAAGGGGGGCTTTGGGAGGACCAGAAACAATTTATTTTCATATTCATCATTTGCTTAATGAATATGCAAATAAATATTACCAGTCCTCCAAAAGCTTGTGAATGGGTTTACTGGTCCCCAGTATCAAAAAGATTCAGAACCACTGGTCTATAGCAATAAGTGATAAGCTTTTGCTCATCGGTTAATCAGTTAATCGACTACACTATTACAACTCTAGTGGGACCTAAAGGCACGTCTTGAGTTCTAGACTGCTGTGTGCAAAGACTGCAGGATTGGACCCTCTATTTCTAAACCAATACATTGCAAAGGCACCCACATAGGAACAGGGCAGAAGGAATCAGACACGCAATCCAGCCTTTTCATCACCTCACGGCTGCCACTCTCTCTAAGAGTATATTTGACTTCATTAAAATAAGCTCCTTAACAGCACAGTGGAAACGTTTTCCAAGCAACAAACATATCAATAAGACAGTATTAAGAGATGCCTTTGAAGGTCACCAGAAGCCAATTAAAGGAGGCTGCAGCGTCACAAACACGGCTTAGAAATGAATTGGATGGTTTTAGCTGGACCTTGGCTCAGCTCATTTGCGCTTTCAGCTCTTCAAGTTCCGGTCGAGTCTTTAATCGAACCATGAAGTCTGCCTCTGTATGCTGGGGGGTAGGAGGGGAGAAATTAAAAAAAAATAGGAATTAGTCTTGATCGTGTTCCAAAGTAACAGCAAGGCAACTATATCCTGATACTGGAAGAGGTAGCACCAATGTTCTGGCTTGGGCAAGCCGTAAACATTGACAATTATACTCAGCCCCACAGTGATGGAATCCTTTCAAGCAGAGCTTCATGTGTCATGCTACTGTAGCTCAGTAACTCCATATTTTAATCTCTAGTATAATAGTTTTAACTCATCTGGAGTATTTTTCATCCCAGGATTTCAAAGCACTTTACATCCATAAACAAAGCAAGCATTACATCACTGCTACAACACAGGCTCAGAATCAGTGTTTTACAGATGAGGATATGAAGTCAGAGAGGGATTAAGAGACTCACCCAAGGATATAGTGAATCAGTGGCAGATGAAGGAATAGCCTTCAAAGGCTTTAATTCTCAGACCCCTGCCCTGAATCACACCCTCTTTAGAATCCATTGCATATTCGGGCATGAATCTTTGTGCAGAGACTGAATCATACACAGAGGTAATAAGTCTTTTGAGAGCTGAGAATTTATATTTCTTGAACAAAATGTGTTCTAAAAGGAGTTTTACCAGGGACTTAACTGAAACTGCTGACTGAGGGTCTGATTCTCCTCTCACTTAAGATGGACTAAACCAGTGGTCACCAACCAATAGATTGGGATTTAACCGTAGATCCAGGAGCCACTGACAGGCGATCCTCACTGGTTTGGCCGGGAAGCTATCAAGCACTGGCACTTCAGTTGCCCCTCCACCCACTGTCATGCTGCTCCTACCCTCTGCCTTGGAGCTGCCCCCTGGGAGCCTCCTGCTTGCTATGTACAGTATGGGAGGGAGAAGGGGGGGGTGCTGATGTCAGGGCATCCCTCCTCCCCCCCTTCTTTACCCCATCTCCACACAGAGAGAAGGGAACAGAGGGAGCTTGGCAATGCAAATCTCTGCCACTCTCACACAGTGTGTGTGTCTCTGTCATTCTCACAAACACACACTGTCCTTCCCTCTCCTCTCCCGACCTAACACATAAGTGGGTGGGGGTGGTTGTTAACTCTTGCAAAGTGGGTTATTTTTTGGTTTGTGGCTGGTCTGTGCTTTTCATAATTTTCATTTCTCTCATGCTGAAATGTAATTTTTAGTGAATTCATAGTGAGTTCTAAAATGCCTAACCTGTCATGGCAGGAGTCATTCTCCCTATTGTAATTGCTGCTCCTGGAAATGGCTGGCATGTCCCTGTAGCCCCTGAGAAAGGCAGAGCAGGGGTCTCCACATGCTGTCCTTGCCTGCAGACACCATGCTTGTAGCACCATTGATCAGTAATAGGGAACCATATAAGGGCCATGTATATGCCAGCTGCTTTCAGGAGTGGCGCAGGGCCAGGGCAGGAGTAAGCCTGCCTTAACCCCACTGTTCCACCATCTGGAAGCTGTTGCAGTTAAACGGTGCCCAGCTAGAGACTGCTTCCTGAACCCCTGTCTGCTTCCTGAACCACTGTGCTGCAGTGAGTTAGCTTCTGAGGTTCGCAGATCATGAGCTATTATGGATGGATAAGTTAGGAATAAGCAGAAAAAAATAGGCAACCATTCAACACATGGAGATGGTCAAGTGCTGCAATTTGCATTGATAGCTGAAGTTCATTTTCAGAGACAGATACAGTCTGTTTTCTTGGAAGGAAATGGAAGATCTACCTCTCTTAGGGCCTGAGCCAAATCTCACCAAAGCCCTTTGATTCAGTCCTTTAATTGTTATGATAATTCCCATTCCCTTAGCATCCAGGCACTATTGTAGAGCTGCCATCTCTTCAGGACTTCACAAGACCATCTGGAGCTCCACACCTTCTTGTGGGTTACCAAAGGCTAATGTAGTCCATGGACGCAGAGAGCATCACGGACAATGCATATTTCGTGGTCCACAAAAACTATCCTGAAAAAACAGCTTCCCAGAGCTGATTTGCTTTTGTAATACAAGGACAAGGACAAGCACATATAATGTATGGTGTCTTGAGGGCTTAAATTTTCTTCACCCCTTCACAGCAAAAGTCCTATATACCCAGAGCCCAAGTGAGGAGTGTGAACCTCAGTGCTCTGGTGAAACAGAATGTGAGAATGAGCTACTGCAGAAAGCAAACACAACCCCCTTCCTGCGAGGAAGGGTGATCTAGTAGTTACAAGAGGGCTCTTGGAGCTAGATTTTCTGGGTTCGATTCCTAATCTGCCAATGACTTTAACAGATTAACCGGGATTTTGCATCCCGATTCTAAATGTGAGGACATCAAGAAATTTAATGGTACCTCTTTCATTGACAGATGGACCCCTTCAGGCTGGTTACTCTGAATAATCTCCAAGAGTATTGGGGCAAGCGTTGAGCTCAAACCACTGATCTGAAAGAACAAACAAAATGCTGCAGAAGAAAAGGCAAACACAAAGTGACACAAGAAATATGGCAATTACAATGCAAAACCAAGGCAAAGCCCAAAGACAACCCTTGCAGTCCAAGCACTCTAGCCTAATGTATGTAACTTTAGTTTGCAGGGTATCTTAAGGACATAAGAAAGGCCATACTGGGTCAGACCAAAGGTCCTCTCTTCCGACAGTGGCCAATGCCAGATGCGCTAGAGGGAGTGAACAGACTAGGGAATCATCAAGTGATCCTTCTTCTGTCATTCATTTCTATCATCTAGCAAACAGAGGCCAGGGACACCATTCCTACCCATCCTGGCTAATAGCCATTGATGGACCTAACCTCCATGAATTTATCTAGTTCTTTTTTGAACCCTGCTGAAGTCCTGATCTTCACAACATCCGCTGGCAAGAAGTTCCACAGGTTGACTGTACGCTGCATGAAGAAAAACTTCCTTCTGTTTGTTTTAATTTGTACATTTCAAAGGAAGAAGCAAAGAGGGGAACCTGCACTAGTGGAGACTGCTTTGCTGCCCGCTGGCGTGGGTTCCCACTGCCTCTCTCCCTTTGAAATATACAAGAGCCATGGGCGGCTCCCGTACATTCCAAAGGGAGAGGTGGAGTGGGATAGCGAGCGCCCCCATTATCAACTAGTCAATGGAAATTCCATCAAGTACTCGAGTTGCTGATTAATCCCTAGCAGGTGAAGAGGCACTACCCTAGTAACATCCCTAGTAGGTGCAGAGATACATTCATACAGGGTGTAGATCTAGATTATAATCGAACAGTCAATGGAAATCCCATTGACTATTCAATTAGTTAGTCTATAAGGGCACCTCTACCTTTGAACTGTATCAAGAGCCCTGCCCCTCTAATAGAGGCAGCAAGGGGAGGGAGGAGAAGTGACTAGTTGCATCACTAGTCAACTATCTGATAAGCTTCTACTTATTAGATAGTCGACTAGTTAGAGAGTTAGTTCATCTTGGTACAGTGCTTTGAGATCCTCAGATGTAAAGTGCTGTACAAGAGGAGAGTGTCTTTACAAGCAAATAAAATTTCATACCTGAACAACTCGCTGGTGGGTTGTAAGAGTAGCATCGAGGGTTAGCTTGGAGCCATGTTCCTGCATAACCATTACCTCCATGGTTTTAGTGGGCATTGCATAGCTGTAGAAACAACAATTTAGCCTTTAGCAATTGGAGGAGGGAGGGGGGCAAATGAAGAAACCAGTGAAGTTTCAGCAGAAGAGAACATAGCAGGAAATGAAGCATTCATGAGAAATGAACTATGCAAACAAGACAGACTGCATTGGGGCTGGCATAAGCAAAACTGTATAATCATTTGTGTTACGAGACACAGAGGAGAGGCATTATTGCTTCCCAGAAGCTCTCTTAACCACAAACACTAACACAAGAGAACTTTAGTCAATGCCTTTGTTGTTGGAGAGATTTAAAGCAAACATCATCTAGTATACAGCTAATATACCAGTACCTAGTTTTTATTTTCATTAGCAGTCACTGAGCTGTATCTTTCACAGGGGCTATTAAGAAGGATAGAATCCTAGAACTGGAAGGGACCTTGAGAGGTCATCGAATCCAGTCCCCTGCCCTTACGCCAGGACCAAGTACCATCCCTGACAAATTTGCCCCAGATCCCTAAATGGCTTCCTTAAGGATGGAGCTCACAACCCTGGGTTTAGCAGGCCAATGCTCAAACCATTGAGCTATCCCGCCACCTGTGGGGTGGGTATGAATGGGAGTAAATGCACAGATGGTGAAATTGACACCTAAAAGTTAAGCCTCTGGACCCTTAGCGGCCTCAGTTTCCCCATAGATCCAACGGGGGATAGCAGGGGCGACTTGGCCGAGAGATACGTGAGTTTGCGAAATGAATGAGAACCACTGATGAACAGTTCTGTCTAAGAGCGAGGTCATCGAATGAGAGATCTAGGATCTATCCAAGCTGCTCTTAAATATCTCCACAGATGGAAACTCCACAACCTCCCTAGGCAATTTATTCCAGTGTTTAACCACCCTAACAATTAGCAAGTTTTTCCTAATGTTCACCCTAAACCTCCCTTGCTGCAATTTAAGACTTAATAGGTTGATCGGTTACATGAGATGATTTCTGTTCCCTGATTCAATGACTTGTGTGCAGGGCCTAACCAACAGCCTTGCAAATTTCAAATGGCCTATTTAAGTGGGTAGTTCTCTGATCTTCAAAGATTGTACTGTTGTTGATTCTAGCTCTGCAATTTGAGATTCACTAACACTGTGACTATTTGCGTGTAAATTTTACTTTTGACCTGAATGAGCACTATAAAGCTTGTTTATTAGAATATTTATGGATAGTAAATACATGCATATAATAAGTACTGTGCAAGTATTCAGATACCACTATGCTAGGTATGATCAGAGTATAGTTAGAAGAATAAAATATTCCCATAAAATTCCCTCTCCTTACATAAATGTCTGGTAATTTCCTAGTACTGTTCTAGGCTGCTGGGACTGCATTCAGAACCATTGGTGGCATGGAAGATGCTAGCAGAAGCCCTAGATGTCAGAGAAATAGCTGGTGTAGCATGCCACTTGGAAATGCTTCATTTTCACCAATACGGGCCTAGTACGTACAGAGGAGAGAGGCTTGGCCAAATTGCCAAAGTAACAACTGAACTCTGTGGATTTATGCTGGTGTAAATGAGACAGAATTTGGCCCAGTGTGAACTGTTTATATCGCAATTCAGTTAGGAAGGAGAATAATCCCGTGGTTAAAGCACTGGACTCTGACTCAGGAGATCTGGGTTCAATGGCCAGGTCAGCCACTGTGTGACCCTGATCAAACCATTTAATATTTCTGGGCCTCAGTCAAAAAGGGCTAATATATCTCTTCTCACCTACGGTGTCAGTCCCGTCTGTTTAGCCTGTAAGCTCTTGGAGCAGGGATTGTCTCTTGCTACATGTACAAGCACCTAGCACAATGAAGTCTTAACCTCAGTCACGGCAGGCAGGCAATACGAGTAACAATCTGTGTAAGAACCACCTTCTCTAGCTCATGATGCAATAATCTAGGACAATGGTCCCCAACGTAGTGCCCGTGGGTGCCATGGCACCCACTGGGTCATTTTTGTGCGCCCGCTGAGTGATCGGGGCTGGCCCCGCCCACAGGCACACAGCACAGGGCAGCGCCAGCCCCGGGCATGCAGCACATGGGCAGCCCTGCCCCTGGGCATGCGGTGCATGGGCTGTGCCGGCCCCGGGCACGCGGCATATGCACATCCCCGCCTCTGGGCAAGCAGCACAGGAGCGGTACCGGCCCCGGGCACACAGTGTATGGGCATCCCCGCCCCTGGGCGCGTGGCATAGGATTGGTGCCAGCCCCGGCCGCATGTCATATGGGCAGCCCCACCCCTGAGCGTGCAGCACAGGAGAGGCGCCAGCTCGGGGAGTGCAGCGCATGGGTGGCGCTGGCACCGGGTATGCAGCCCCAAAAGGTTGAGGACCACTGATCTAGGATGCAGGCTCTTCCTGTAAATATTCATAGGTGCATGTGAGCAGAAAACATCCAAATTTCCTAGCATCTGTGGGTCTCAATTGTTTAACAGAGAGCTGGATTATTCAAGGGACTGGTGACCCACAGACCTTGAAGGCCAATGGGACCATACGATCATCTAGCCTAACCTCTACTGGATAACCAGGATCCAAGAGCCTTTTAATTTAACTCTGTGCCATTTGACAGCTGTTCACTGAATTATGAGAAATTTGTTAGTGAGAAGCCTCATTTTGTTGAGCATCCACAATATAGAATGAGACCATCAGTACTGGTCTATGCATGCAGGACTTTAAACTCCATGACTGCTGATGCAGCACCTCATGCAGAGTCTAAAGAAATCAATTCACCTCTTTGCATTTTTAAATAGAATTTAAAACAGTGAGCATTATGCACTATGCACACATTAAACAGCATTCAGAGAGAGATTTCCATGTGCATTAACTTCCTTTTACAGTAGCTATGACAGGTCCTTTGGGCAACATCATGAAGGCCCAAAGGAATCAAGCACTTATAATCACAGTGGCTGGTCAAAACTACACAGATACTCTTTGCACATCTCCCTCACTGAAGTGTCACAAATGGCTTGGTTTCTACCTGTAACTATTGCTTTCCAAATATAATGCCTCTGCAAAGACACTGCAGAAGTCACTCACCCTGCTACATGATCCACAGACCCATTCAGAACAGTACAGCTGCACGCTGGCTTCTCAGGTCTGATATTGGAATCACAGTTATAAGAGACTCTGTCCCTCCACCTCAAGGAGGGCATCATGACTCTAAACTAGAGATGAGCAGGACTAGTATGGATCTGACAAGGAATACATTCAAAGAATATTTCCTTAATGATATTGTGTCTGCAGATCCCCAATGTAAGACAGCAGGGAAATAGTTAACGTTCACATGTAAAATGTCATTATTAGCATCCAGCGTGAATATCATTTTTGGATGAGCAGGAATAATTCACACATCGTAGAGCTGTTGTTACAAATAATCTACAGGCTCAGATAATGCTGCAGCAGATCACATGTCTAACTACCCCCATGGACAGAAACAAAGTGAAAGCATAAATCCTAGTGACAATATTGGGGTCCCTGGAGAAGAAGAACTACAACTCTCCCCTCCCACATCTAGTTCAATCTAGCCTCTGCTATTTATAAACTGAACAAGTGCAGGCCAGCCCCTCTGCAAAAGCTGCCTTGTGACAAGCCTTTCCATGGCTTCAGGAAGCAAAAATACAGACCTTGAAGGCTCACTCGTCCTATTTTTAGGAAAATTATAGCTGTGGCAGAAAAAGCAATATGTAGGACAAAGCCCACTGTTCTGCCTGATCCAAGCTCCATGCTGCTTCTGCAATTGTCAGAGCTTTTAGATGAGGAAAAGACCAAGGCAGACTGGTGAAAAGGGAGCTTGTCTCTAAATGTGGGGCAGGGAAGAACGATCCATCCACGCAACAGATGTACAGGAACAAAATCTGCAACAAAAGTGAAATGTAGCAAAAGGAAAAGAATCCAGCACAACCGAAAGAAGTGAGATAGGGCATTTCAACACCCCACAACATGTGGAAAAGACACATGGAGGGCTAAGACTCTAATTATATTTATGGCACTTTTCATCTTCAAAGAACTCTACCCACATCCAGCCATCCTCAAGAACTATGAGGTAAGCAGGCATTAGTCAATACATTTTGCAGATGGAAAAGCTTGCACAGAGAGACAGCAAGTCAATGAAGCAGCCAGGATTAGAACTCAGAAGTTCCCCTTTCCCATTCCTATGCTCAAACCACTAGCTAATGCCCCTTTCTCCACTGACTGAAAACTGAGAGGTAATTCTTCCCTGAAATCTAAATGGCCAGTCTTTTTCCTAGGGTTGCCAGGTGTCCAGTTTTGAACTGGACAGTCCAGTATTTGAGCTTTCTGTTCGGGAAACAAATTGAGAAAATATAAATGTTCGGTATTTTCTAAATAAGATGTAATGTCGATTGTGATGTAATGTCAAGTGTGTCCGGTATTTTTGCTGAAAGCATCTAGCAACCCTTCTGTGACAGGGTCAGGCCAGGGAGCTGCTACAGAGAGGGGGGCCTATTTGAAAGCATGGGAAGGTGGGCGGGCAAAGCCCACCCACCTTCTAAAAGCCCCTCCACAACCTTATGGGAGGGACACTGGACCCATGTCCAACTGAATCCGGGGGACAAAAAATGACAACAGGGTCAAGGAGTGCCGGGAAAAGGCAGCCCAAAAGGGTAATAACCCCTGGCAGAAAAAAAAAGCAGAGAACTGCAGCCCAATTAGATGCAGCTGGGAGGGAGCTGACTCAAGCAGATTGGGGCCAGCTGACTTCTCTGCTGGCTGACTGAGGGCCTTTAAAAGCCTCAGCATTTGGAGGCTGGGGGAGAGTGTGAGAGGACGAAGGGGCGGGGGAGGGGAGAAATCTGGATCAGCACTAGGTAAAGGCAGCTAGGGCGGGAGCCTGAGGGCACGTGGCCGGGCTCCCTACCATTCAGACCCACTGCAAAACCCAAACCCTGGGGCTAGGAGTAAGAGGCCTACCCAGTGGTGGCTTGGGGAAGAGGGGCCCTTGCCACACCTTTTTCCTACTTGAACAGAGCTCTCACTGAGGGCAGAGGAGAACCCATGGAGACAAAGAACAGAAGAGAGGAAAATTCAGACACACACAAATGTCACAAAGGCCTCTGTGTTCTTGTCTGTGCAACACCTTCACAGCTCTCCTTTCTGCGCTGTATCCCAGCAAGACCAAAGTACACAGCCGTGTCACAGACGCACACAGATCACACACAGTGGCGGTCTGTATACCTTTCTTTTACTCTAATGGAGAATTGGTTGCAGAGTTTATGAACATATTGAGCATAATGCTCCACCAGGCACATGTCGTATGCAGTCATCTGTATGTTCAGGTCTCCATATTCATGATCTGATCCCACATTAATCTCCTTCATCTGTACCTTGTCCCTTTTCTTCTTTGAAACCTGTAAGAAAGCATAATACCATTCAGCATTCTTGGAAATGTCTAACTATACAAGAGTCGTGCTCAGTAGTGATTGGGACAGAGGACTGGTAGCCTGGACTGTATTCCTACCTCTGACACTGATTTCTGAGTAACCTTGGGCAAGTCAAGGCTTCTCAGTGCTCATTTTTTTCTGGTTGTAAAATCAGAGTACTTAATTTATTGAAGTGTTCTGAGGCTTAATTGGTTGAGGTCCTGCAATGGCGGACCTTACAGAAGCACCACACTCTCCTGAACAATGTATGCTTAGCATGATAAACTACTTCTTCAAGAAGGAACTAAGGAGTTGGAACAAACTGCTTCTATTTCAGCCTCTGCCTTTGAGGCACCTGTCTAGATGAATTATTGTGTCATTTTTCCAGAAATGTCTCCCTTCCAAAATCCAAGAAAAGTAAAAAGTTTAAAATGGTCGGAGACTTTACTTGCTAATATTTAGCAATTGCTTGTGATTGGTTTGGTTAAATTCAACACACTTAAGTTTCCATTAGCCAAGCCACTTAGAGACTTCAATAAGGAAGTAATGAACAGCAGAATGTATTTTTGTAGTGCTTTGACTAGGATATGTCTCTGGGAGCAGCAAAAGGAAAGCAACATACTCTTTTCTTCTATCGTCAGCAGCCCATAGAATTAGCAGCACCAATACTTTAATTAGTCTATAAACATATCCTAATAGATTGGAAGCCAGCACTGCCAGAGTGTGAAATGCCTACCTCAACAGGAAGCAGGTGTCTGAACCTCCCAATGCCATGTGTAGGCTGGGACCTATAGTGTCTCTTGCAGCTCAGCGTCATGCTGCCTTTAAAGAGAAAGAACAAAACAGCTTTCAAATGAAAGGTCAGACGGCTCCTCTCCCGACAAAGCTGTGCAAGTATGGAAGATAGGAGCAGCCAGGAATCTCCTGAGGAGAGGTGGGACAGAAGCCTGGAAGAAGAGAGTCCGTCTGTCTGCCATTAATTATTTTACAGCAGTGGTTCTCACCCTTTCTGGACTTCTGTATCCCTTCTAGGAGTCTGATTTGTCTTGCATACTCCCTAGTTTCAGCTCACTTAAAAACTACTTGTTTACAAAAATCAGACAAAAATACAAAAGGTGCCACAGCACCCTATTACTGAAAGATTGCTTCATTTTGCTTTTTTGCCATATGGGCTATGCCCACGAAAGCTCATGATACCATCTATATGTTTTGTTAGCGTATAAAGTGCTACCAGCCCATTTGTTGTTTTTGGAATATAAATGTTGTACTTACATTTCAGTGCATATGAAGTAGTATAAACAAATCACTGTGTGAAATTTTAGTTTGCACTGACTTTGCTAGTGCTTTTAAAGGTTACCTGTTGTAAAACTAAGCAAATATCTAGATGAGCTGATGTACCCCCTGGAAGACCTCTGTGAATCCCTGTCTTAGAACCACTGTTTTAGAGGGGCCACAGGTGAGCAAGATGCTTCATATAGAAGACATGCCCCTGCCCCAGTCTACAGTGTAGGTTACTCAGAGTTAGGCATGTAATAGGAAAAATCCTATTTTTTATTGTAATGATATTTTATGTTGTATACTTTGCCAAATTATTTTGAAGTAGAAATAGATTTAGATTTTTATAGTTATTGTAGAAAATATTTAGAATTATTGTAGAAAAATTTAGATTATGGTTATTATTTTGGTTTTAGTTTTAAAGTAGACTAGGAGGCTGCACCCCCTGCTTGCTATGTTCACCACCCCACCACCCTCGTCCGCCACAGCCAGATCATGGCCTCTCTCCCTACCCATGCCACAGCAGGAGGGGGGCCACCAGCTCTTTCTGCAGCCAGGATCGAGGCTGGGGACAGGACGTTACGACCAGACGAGGGCTGGGCCCCGATTGGAGCCTTGTTGTCCAGGCTTAATTTTAAATAAAGTAAAATATTATGTCCAACACAAAAAGGTTTCAACATTGTTTTTATTAATGGCAAGGGTGGGAACTTTTGGGGGGTTCTGGCGGTGGGCCCCAGGCCACCTCAGGTTCAGTGCTGTAGTATGACAGGGTGCAGAGAGTCTTGAGCACGCAAATCACAAAGCTGCTGTCTGAGCAAGTGGGGCGATCCCTATCCACCTGGCCTGGCCCTGTAACAGCTGCTTGCTGAAGGAGCGCTTCTCCTTAGCACTGCCAAGGTTGGCTGGCCTGGGGCTGCTCACCCTGGACAGTCTCTAGTCTTTTTCCTCCCCTACAGCCACTGTGGAGAAGGGAGGAGGGGAAAAGCAGCATGGCTAAGGGCAGAGGGGAGGCAAGACGAAAACTTTTCCTGCAGGATGCAGAGTGACATACTGACATCACTTTGTCGTCCTGCAGGAAAAGGTTTTTTTAATACAGAGAGAGCTTATAATATAGTGGAAGAATGTAATCATTTGCTTTTTCTTGAAATTTTGTTTGTAACCCTTGTTCTTGTTTTTATGATGTGTGAGAGTAAAGAATGTGAGAGAGATAAGGGTGAGGGTCACCACTGAACCAGGGATACTGAAAGGAAGGTTCCAACAATGGACTGGATGACATAACGAAAGAGGGCAAATGGGCAGGCAACCCAGATGCTGAGGGAAAAGGGCAAGCATGTATCAATTGGGACAATTGGGGTATTTGTGATCAAAACCAGCTTAGCATGGCAGAACAAAAATAAGAGATACAACTGGAGATAAACATCCATCAGAAAAACAGCATAACGATGTAAAACTTAATGATCCCAATGAAGAAAAACTACAGGCAATCCCCGAGTTACGCGTATCCGACTTATGTCGGATCCGCAGTTACGAACGGGGATTTTCTCGCCCCAGAGGACTGGAGCGGCGGGACGCCTGGTCCTGCTGCCCGCCTCCTCTGGGGCGAGAAAAGCTGCTCCCCGGAAGCTCATCTGGAAGCGGCCGCGGGTCCGGCCCATGAAGCCCGGGAAATTCGAAGCCCAGGCTTCATTTGCAAGTGCGGTATGCCTACATTACCCCGCTAGTTCGAACTAGGAGGGTAGTGTAGACATACCCTAAGTTCTTACTTTTTATACTGAGGTTTCCCCAGCATTATGACCCAGATTTTTGAAGGCATATTTGGGCATTGCAGCTCAAAGTTGCAATCCCTAACCAATCACAGGTTCAAAAGATATTTAAACACATAGAAGTAAAAAGCCCTCTGACTGTCAATGAAAATGAGATTTAGTCTCCTAACTCAGTAATGCATCACAACACTGAGCACAATACCTAACTAACTTTAAAAATCTGGACCTGTGTCTGTATATAGCTGAAATCTGACTTATCATGGATCTGTGATATCTGTAATATCAGTTGTGTTTGTAACACTTTGATCTTTTTTAAGTGATCAAAAGAAAAAAAGACACTTAGAACAACTTCTTTTCCCCAGAACTCTAAAATAAGGAAGCAAGTACCAATTACGATAGTCCCATGCATCTCTGAATATGATAAGGGGATAGTACTGTAGCTCTTTGCAGCTTTCAACTACAGGCAGTCCCCGGGTTACGTACAAGATAGGGACTGTAGGTTTGTTCTTAAGTTGAATCTGTATGTAAGTCGGAACTGGCATCCAGATTCAGCCGCTGCTGAAACTGATCAATTTCAACAGCGGCTGAATCTGGACACCAGTTCTGACTTACATACAGATTCAACTTAAGAACAAACCTACAGTCCCTATCTTGTACGTAACCCGGGGACTGCCTGTACTACAAATAGGGACTGCTTTGCCATGAAACTTTGGGGAACGCCCTGCCAAGACTGGAGTATAGATCCAGACTGACAGACCTCCCCGCTCCTCTGCCCATGATCAATCCATGGACTGGTAAATATAACATCAAGTGGTGGGACTCTGTGTGTGTCTATGTAAGCATATGCTAACTGCTTTGCCATTGTATTTTCAATAAACACGGCATATTGCCTTTTCCCCCGAAAAGATCCCGTGTGCTTCTTATAAACATAATACATGTACCCCACACACCATAGAGAGTCAGTTAAGTGAACTGGGGAGGGAGTAAATATGTGCAACAAATAAGGGTGCGTCTGTCCCATTGTCTTGTCCTATGCTTGAGTAAGACAAACGAGGAAAGGGTAATGACTTGACAGACCACAGTAGAGTGAAGCAGAGAAACGGAAGGAACCCCTAGCATAGCGAAACTCAAGGGGTTCAGCGTGGAGAGGGCTGGAGCAAGATGGTAGTGCTGAAACAGTAATGGATCCGGTCTTTTAATCATGTGAGAGGACTACTACATTGTAACAGAATCCATCAGCACAGTAGATCTTGATATGTAGAAATGGAACCTTAAATTGGGTTTAAGATTGGTTCCACTAAGAGTTCCTGACCCAGTGTAGACTGGGAACATTGGGCTAGATTCACAAAAGGACTTAGGTATTTGACTGCCACTTCAGTCATGAAATCTCAAAAATCAGGCCACACTGGGCATCACCAAAAAACCCTCAGCTGCTGCCAAGGTCTGTGGCATAAACTCACTCAGCACTAGGGATATAAAATCCCATTTAACCAGTTAACTGGGATCTCGCGGGCAGGGGGGATTTTAGCCCGACTGCAGTGTGACACAGCAGGCCTGGTCAAGCTGGAGCAGCCTACCATCCACAGCATGACAGGCCCAGCTGGAGGAGTGGCCCCACGCCCAGGCTGCTCCTGCCAGACCAGGCCGAATCTGCTGCGGGTGGAGGGCTGCTCTGGCCGGGCCAGGTCCATGGCATAGCAGGCCCAGCCAGGCTGGAACACTCCTAAGCCTGCGGTGCAGTGGACCCAGACGGGCTGAAGTAGGCCTCCTGCCTGCCAGGCTTCCGGTTACATCCCTACTCAGCATCTACACTTCTGCAGTGAAAGTCCTCTGGGCACTTACGGCTCTGCTTCTGAGCATGCGCATTGCAGCTCCACACCAGGTGCCCAGATATCCAAGCCCCAAAGCGATTCACAATCCAGAGGAAGACAAGTGTTCCTCCACTTCACTACTTGTCTGTTGTACTCAATCGAGCAAGCATGCCCAAAGCTCATCCACTGGACCAGGGCCCTATAGGCCAGTTTACAGAAAATGGCTGCAGGGGAAAGGTGGGAAAAGGAAACAGGAGGAGAAAGACTCCTTCATAACTTACAATGCAGTGGTCAGGGTGCTCACCTGGAATGTCGGAGACCCCATGTCAACTTCCCCCTCTGCCTGATGAGGAAAAAGGAATCTAAACAGGGATCTGCCATCTCAGGTGAGTGCCCTAGCCCCCAGTCTATTGGACAGTATGATATGGGGCTCTCTCAGTCTCTTCGGTTGGAGCTGTTCCCCTGGGAATAAACGATGAAAAAAAAAATGACTGGGACAGAGTGCGCACACAAGCATAAGAATGACTCTCTAGCCCGGGGCTGGAGCACTCCACAGTGGGGAGCTTCAACAGAAGAGACCAAGGGAGCCCAGTACAAGAACATAGCCCCATGGCAAGGGCACTCAGACAAGCAGCAGAGCCCATTCAAATCCCTTCTCATCAGGCACAGGGTGGAACTGAGCCATGGTTTCTCACATCCCAGCAGAGTACCCTACCACCGGCCTAAATGTTACTGGGCAGGTACTCTTCCTCTCCCCTCCCTGCTCCAGCTTTTTCCAAAAATGGGGCAGGCACTTTGCAGCTTAGAATCCCAAGCAGAGAGAAGTGACTCCCTGCAACCTGGATTTAGGAGCAAGAGGGGCGGGGCTTAGGACTAGGGATGTTAGGAAACAAGTAATCAGCTAATCGTGTAGTTGATAAAATTTCTATCGACTACACGATTAGTCGATAAGGGAGGAAACCTCCAGGAGCTACCCCTTCGGTGGCTCTGCAGTTTAAATGTAGTAAGCCCAGCTCTTACTACATTTAAACTGCAGAGCTGCTGCAGGAGAAGCTCCTGAACCTGGCATGAGCCAGGCCTCAGCAAAAAGCTTCCAATGCTGCTTCTGTTCGAGGCCAGGGGTGCAGCAGGGTGAAGTGGGATGCAGGATGGGCAGGCGGCACTGTGGAGACAGTCCTGGGGGAAACTGGCTTTTAAGCCAGCTCCCCCCAGCACCGGCTCCTGCTCCCTCCCCTGCTCCCTCTTAGACAGAGGCGGGGGGGGGGTGCAAATAGTCAACTCAACTACCAGATAAGCCTAAGCTTCAATACACCCCTCTCCTTAGCCAATGAGAAATACCATTTAGGTGGAGAGCTGTTTAGTGTGCTGGCTTCTGTGACTCCCATTCCAAGGTGCATTTCTGCCCATACACATTTCTGCCCATACATTGCACAGAGCTGAGATGCCACACTAACATTTGTGAATCCCAGGGATTGTTTAGGTGCCTACAAGTTAAATGTGGTGCTGTTCAGCATCACCATGCCCACATCTCTTTGTGAATACAGCCCACAGTCTATAGCAGATGTTTCTCCACAACATAAAGTCAGTCTCACTAGAACACTCTGCTTAGCTGAGTCCCAGGAATGGAACAAGAGGAGGATTTGTGATCAGATCAAATGTGCGACTGAATGCTAGTCTGGTGCCTGGCTGAATAATTCATTTTAACACCATCATTAAGCTCAAATTTGGTTTAAAGAATTAAGCAGCAAGGCAACATGAGGGCTAAAATATCAGATACACTAAAAACCTTGTTGTATTATATTCAAAATCTACAGCAAGTTCTTACCTACAGCACAGATGGGGCTCCCTCTGGCTGCTGTTATGCTAAAGGAAAAGCCAAGATGAAAGTTAAAAGCTGTTGTTTCATTTATAAAAGTACTATATAGAATTTCAGTCTCTAAATGGAGAGTCATTCTTGAGTGGCAGGTTTTACAGGCAGAGTGTGGAAACTGGCTGAGAGTTTTACCTAACTATGGCTCTCATTACTGCATTATCTGCATACCTCACACCCATTAATGGATTTTATCCTCACATCACCCCATTGCTTAGAGTAGCATTATGCTCACAGGACAGATTAAATGACTTTTCCAGCACACACATAGAGTCTGGGGTTGAGCTGAAAAGTGACCTCAGATATCCCAAACCACAGTCCGGTGCACCATCCACTGGACTCGGGGTGTCAAAATCCCTTGAGGGAGGGAGAGAGAGAGAGATTCCTTATTTCAGAAGCTGAATGGCAACCTCTGCTTTATCCACAATGCAGACTTCATTGACATCAGCAGGACAATCACAACAATCAAGGAGCCAATAATAGCTTTTATGTAGTAACTAAAAGTTTTATTTATTCTTGCATTTCTCTAATGGAACTCTCAATTCCCACCGCGGGAAGACTTCACTCCCATGCCAAAACATTCCATCTGCTACAGTGATACATTAACATTGACATTACAACACCATCACGGAGCTTTAGAACTGATGCTGTGATCAAATTAATAAGTAGGTTACCCAGCTCACTGCAAACTCAGACAGACATATTCTTATGACATCATGACACTGGTTTATTTCCCACACCCCACTTACATCTGGAAGATCATGTCTGCTTTCTTCTTTCTGTTTTAAGTTTAGATTCTGCACAGTTTGAGTATGGCATATGAGCTATAAATGCATAACGCACACCAGATCTGGCCCAGGGATTCTGAGTTTGACACCCATTCAGCTGATCAGAGAGACCATTCTTCCTACACTGATGGTGCAAGGAATCATCTCTTCTACAGATCGTGCTATTGCAAGAGGTTCCAGATGTCATCTGAAACATTCCTTTCCCTGTATCTCAATGGTTTTCCTTTGTCTGATACTATTTTTCAGCTGTGTGATTTTTTTTAGAGCTGTCAATCACAGTTAACTCATGCAATTAACTCAAATTAATCATGATTAATCACACTTAAACAGAATGCCAATTGAAATTAAATATTTTGGGATGTTTTTCTACCTTTTCAAATATATTGATTTCTATTACAGAATGCAAAGTGTACAGTGATCACTTTTTATATTATTTTGGATTACAAATATTTGCAGTGCAAAAATGGTAAACAAAAGAAACAGTATTTTTCAATGTACCTCATCCAAGTACAGCAATACACAATCTCCTTATCGTGAAAGTGTAACTTACAAACATTAGGGGTTTTTGTTACATAAATGCACTCACAAACAAAACAATGTACAACTTTAGAGTCTACAAGTCTATTCAGTCCTACTTCTTCAGCCAATTGATAAGACAATTAAGTTTGCTTACAATTACAGGAAATATTGTTGCTTGCTTGCTTCTTTTTTACACTTGAAAGTGAGAACAGGCATTCTCCCGCCACGTTTTTATCCGGCATTGAAAGATATTTGCTTCATGCACATGCTTATCAGATAAATGCTTATCGGATAATCAGTCAACTAGTCGATTCCCCCTCTCCCACTCCTGCTGCCTCTATCAGATACAGGCAGCAAAGCAGGGTGGGGGAGGAAGAGGTACTTCAAAGCGGCAGTGCTGCACAGCTGAGCCAGAGAGCACCTATGCAGCTGCCCCTTTAAAATGCCAAGGCAGCGTTCAAAGGGGCAGTGCTGCACAACTGAGCTAGGGATCAGCTGTGTGGCACTGCCAAACATGGAGCCTGGGTCAGTTGGGGACTCCCCAGCTGATCCTGGGCTCCAGTGCAGCATTTCCGCGGAACCCACAATCAGCTGGAAAGTCCCCAGCTGACCAGGAGTTCTGGGGAAATGCCATGTGGAACCCGCAGTCAGCAAGGGGAGTCCCCAGCTGACCCAGGCTCTATGTGGCATTTCAAATCAGCAGCACAGCATGGAGCCCGGGGTCAGCAGGGTATTCTGAGTCCCCTACTGACTCCGGGCTCCATACTGAGCTGCTGCTTTGAAGTGCACAAAAATCCCCACCGAAGACTTCCTGCTGGCCCTGAGTTGCACAGAGTTACATAACATAAGAATGGCCGTACTGGGTCAGACCAAAGGTCCATCTAGCCCAGTATCCTGTCTGCTAACAGTGGCCAGCGCCAGGTGCCCCAGAGGGGGTGGACCGAAGACAATGATCAAGCAATTTGTCTTGTGCCATCCATTTCCAGCCTCTAACAAACAGAGGCCAGGGACACCATTTCTATCCCCTAATAGCCTTTTATGGACCTAAGCTCCATGAAATTATATAGCTTCTCTTTAAACTCTGTTATAGTCCTAGCCTTCACAGCTCCCACTAGCAAGGAGTTCCACAGGTTGACTGTGCACTGTGTGAAGAAGAACTTTCTTGTATTAGTTTTAAACCTGCTACCCATTAATTTCATTTGGTGTCTTCTAGTTATTTTATTATGGGAACAAGTAAATAACTTTTCTTTATTCACTCTCTCCACACCACTCATGATTTTATAGACCTCTATCATATCCCCCCTCAGTCTCCTCTTTTCTAAACTGAAAAGTCCCAGCCGCTTTAGCCTCCTTTCATATGGTACCCGTTCCAAACCCCTAATCATTTTAGTTGCCCTTTTCTGAACCCACCTGGGGCTCTTGTACATTTCAAAGGAGGAATGCAGAAGTGCCTATCGACTAGTCGATGAAAATTCCATTGACAACTCGACTAGTAAATTAAGCATTACTTAACATCCTTAGGGAGCACAGTACACTTTGTATTCTGTGTTGTAATTGAAATATATTTGAAAATGTAGAAAACAATCAAAATATTTAAATAAATGGTATTATATTACTGTTTAATTGCATCATTAATCAGGATGAATTTTTTTAATCACATGATTAATTGCAATTAATGTTTTTAGTCATTTGACAGCCCTAATGATTTTTTAATTTTATAAGCTTTCTGGGCTTGTTAATAAGAGAGACAAGGTATAAAAATGTTATCTTGAATCTTACGTTTGCTCAGTCAGATTTCAGAATCCTTACCTGCTAAGAGCAAATGCCTGTTTTAGAAACATTTCCTTCCCTAGGCATAGCACCTATAACAAACCAACACTGTTAGAACACAAACACGTAAGAAAAGCAACAAGAAGGTTTTCAAAGCAATCAGTTCTTAGTTTACTCATCTTGGAATGCATCTTTCTTAACAAAATTCAGTAACTTCATAATGTATCAATAAACTTCCCAACCAGTTGTTATTGGCCTAAAGCAAATCATCACTTCTAAGTACACTGCTACAATACAAAATGGGACAGAGTAACAGAAAGATAGATAACTGTAATTTCTCTTTTGTACACGTGGATTCCAACAATTTGATATTAAGGCACCCAATATTGACTAAATTCATCCCAGATATCACTCCACTAACTATGTTAAACTATATAATTTACCTTCCCATTTACTCCAGCTACACATGGTTTAATAAAGACACAATTCCACTTCTCTGCAATAATATCTAACATCCACCCAAAACACCTGTGGATTGGATAAATGGACAGTAAGATGGATAGAAAGATGGCTAGAAGGCCGGGCCCAGCGGGTAGTGATCAACGGCTCGATGTCAGGATGGTGGTCGGTTTCTAGCGGAGTGCCCCAAAGTTCGGTTCTAGGACCGGTATTGTTCAATATCTTTATTAATGACCTGGATGAGGGGATGGATTGCACCCTCAGCAAATTTGACGATGACACTAAGCTAGGAGGAGAGGTAGATACGCTTGAGGGCAGAGACAGGGTCCAGAGTGACTTAGACAAAGTGGAGGATTGGGCCACAAGAACTCTGATGAGGTTCAACAAGGACAAGTGCAGAGTCCTGCACTTGGGATGGAAGAATCCCAAGCATTGTTACAGGCTGGGGACCAACCAGTTAAGTAGTACTGCAGAAAAGGACATGGGGGTTACAGTGGATGAGAAGCTGGATATGAGTCAACAGTGTGCCCTTGTAGCCAAGAAGGCTAATGGCATATTAGGTTGCATTAAGAGGAGCATCGCCAGCAGATCCAGAGATGTCATTATTCGGCTTTGGTGAGGCCACATCTGGAGTATTGTGTCCAGTTCTGGGCCCCCCACTACAAAAAGGATGTGGATGCATTGGAGAGGGCAACCAAAATGATTAGGGGGCTGGAGCATATGACTTATGAGGAGAGGCTGAGGGAGTTGGGTCTGTTTAGTCTGCAGAAGCGAAGAGTGAGGGGGGATTTGATAGCAGCCTTCAACTTCCTGAAGGGGGGTTCCAAAGAGGATGGAGAGAGGCTGTTCTCAGTAGTGATGGATGGCAGAACAAGGAGCAATGGTCTCAAGTTACAGTGGGGGGGGTCTAGGTTGGATATGAGGAAAAACTATTTCACTAGGAGGGTGGTGAAGCACTGGAATGGGTTACCTAGGGAAGCAGTGGAGTCTCCATCCCTAGAGGTGTTTAAGTCTCGACTTGACAAAGCCCTGGCTGGGTTGATTTAGTTGGGATTGGTCCTTCCTTGGGCAGGGGGCTGGACTCGATGACCTTCTGAGGTCTCCTCCAGCTCTATGATCAGCCTCCTCAATAACTTCCCTGCCCCCCACTGCCTTCCAGGGCATCCTTCCCACAGTGCCCAGCCCCCAATGGAACCACCTTCCCTGGCACCCCTCCCCCATGCCCAACGGCCCCCATGGAACCACCTTCCCCAGAGCCCCCTCCTGGCCCAGTCCCCCCACAGAACCAC